TGAAAATTAAATAGCTAAATGTAAATTTGATTTCTTAATAACTAGATAGAAAAAGATTTTTGATTTATAAAATTATAAAATTTCATTTGCAAAGTTGCATTTATATAATTTATAAAATTATATACGTTCTATATATTTACATTTTATAAAACAATTTATATTTTAGGACACGTTAAGTTTTCGAACTGCGCACGTAACCTCGTATACGAATCTTAACGGACAATTCTAACTCTTGTTAGAATTGTTATTCAATGTTCTTACATTGAATACTGAAATCGCCAAAGTGACATTTTTTTATAGACTCGATGTCGAGATCTCGGGATTGATTTCACCGATTTCATTCGAACTGATCTCAATCGAAAACGCGTATCGACATTATATAATGAAAGTGTCATTAGATATTTCATTATAACTTTCCGAGATATTAAAATCGGAAATTTGACGAAGCAAAATTCAAGATAAAACTATAGCGGTAACGCCTCGACAGTGTCAGTGCCGTATACTCACAAGTCATTACCCGACCCTTTTTATACACTTGGCGTCGCGGCGGTACCACTTTGCTTGATATGAATCATTTTGTTCTCAAAATGAATTCTTTTACGCACAGAATAAGGAGATAAATAAATTAATTATTACTAAATAAAACAATTAGTTCATATCGACAACTTCCTGATGTTACTCTGCATATACATGGCATGCCTTCATATACATATATACACATACGTGACATACATCTGAACACACACATAAGTAGTCGCGCCTTTATTAAATAATATATTATTATTAAATAATTACCAAATGGTTTTTACATAAACAATATATTATTGTTCCGTAAAACTCGCTCCTTTCCTCTATCCGTTTTCCAGTAATTAATCCAGTGTCGATGTATCACTGCAACAGTATGACATATCACCACTAAACTATAATACAACTGAAATGAGTGTAGTTATAGACCCTATAATCGGATAGTCGACAACTCGCTATGTGATCAGACCAACCAATCAGAGTATGAAATAAAGGGCTCCGATTGGTTGATTCTTTTATACTTTATACCTTATACATCACTCGTATGTCGCTCATTCTTTCATTTCGCGCTTTCACTCGTGTTTTGCGTGCAACATCACGTGGCGTACACGTTCTACTATCGCTTTCTCACTTACTCTTTTCATAATAACTTCGCGCGAGACGTTGCCACGTCTTCTAGAGAATTTCAATTCGATACGAATAATCAGTTCTATGTGATCCATAGTGAAGAAACGTATAGTAAAGGACCAAGGACCACAATGTCGCGTAAGTATTAAATTTATAACTTTCTTAAACTAAGGACGATTTCAAATAAATTTTTGAATATATAGGAGGCCTCATGTTATCCATACACTACTGCACAAATATCGATTTAGTATTTAATAGAATTATTCACATAATTAAAAATATAAATAATGAATAATTTATGTATAATATCCACACCAATGGGACTACTTTTTTTTTATTTGTATATACATTCACAAGTATATGGATGAGACGCTGTCTAATTGTCGACAGTTCTACGAGTTTTAATGCATTTTTCCAGTAGTTCTGAATGTATCTAAAGAGTTTCCGTAGAGTTCTGATCACATACACGATTAATTTGTTTTTTAAATAATTTTAATCGCCGCAAAACGCACATTTTCGAGTATACGGGATAAGACGCTGTCTAATTGTCGACAGTTCTACGAGTTTTAATGCATTTTTCCAGTAGTTCTGAATGTATCTAAAGAGTTTCCGTAGAGTTCTGATCACATACACGATTAATTTGTTTTTTAAATAATTTTAATCGCCGCAAAACGCACATTTTCGAGTATACGGATAAGACGCTGTCTAATTGTCGACAGTTCTACGAGTATTAATGCATTTTTCCAATAGTTCTGAATGTATCTAAAGAGTTTCCGTAGAGTTCTGATCACATACACGATTAATTTATTTTTTAAATAATTTTAATCGCCGCAAAACGCACATTTTCGAGTATACGGATAAGACGTTGTCTAATTGTCGACAGTTCTACGAGTTCTAATGCATTTTTCCAGTAGTTCTGAATGTGTTCAAAGATTTTCCGTAGAGTTTTATTTAAAAAATAAATTAATCGTGCATGTGATCAGAACTCTACGGAAAATCTGTAGACACATTCAGAACTACTCGAAAAATGCATTAGAACTCGTAGAACTGTCGATAATTAGACAGCGTCTTACCCGTTTACTCGAAATGTGCGTTTTGCGGCGATTAAAATTATTTAGAAAATAAATTAATCGTGATCAGCACTCTACGGAAAATCTTTGCACACATTCAGAACTACTGGAAAAATGCATTAAAACTCGTAGAAATGTCGACAATTAGACAGCGTCTCATTCATATACTTATGAATGTATATACAAATAAAAAAAAGTAGCCCCATTGGTGTGGATATTATACATAATTTATTCATTATTTATATTTTGAATTATGTAAATAATTCTATTAAATACTAAATCGATATTTGTGCAGTAGTGTATGGATAACATGAGGCCTCCTATATATTCAAAAATTAAAATTCAGTTTTATTTTGACAGAATCATCAGACGATACAAATGTTAATCATAAAATAGACACGCTATTGCTGCAACAGGCGCAGCAGCATCAACAATTAATACAGCAGCAGGAAGAACAAAAAAAATTGCTGCAACAATTACTGCTATAGTTGCAACATCAATCACAACAGCAACAACAATCACAATCTCAGCAGCAACAGCAGCCACAACAATCATCAAGTAAGCAACAGCAGTCGCAACAAGTGCTGCAAAAACAATTACACCAACGAAGCCAACAACATGGTAAATTATTTATTACCTCGAAAAAAATTGTATCAGATTAAAAAAAAAATGAAAATGAGACCTTTGTATCATCTTAAATATATTTATAATATGACTTAAAAAAAAAACTGTTGTTAAATTATAAAAAAACCTAAGTGGCATTATCTTTAATATATGTATATTAAAGATAATGCCACTTA